TTTTAATCCACCTGCCATTGCTGTCAAGGTTTGACAGCCTTGCATGCACCCCTGGAAAAACCAGTAGTCCAGCAGCAACCTCCCCTCTAACACCATCACTCCCAACTGGCAAGCCTACAATTCTTTCGCGCGCCTCGTAAGTGATTCTAAACTTGGACTTCTCTGCAACCCCCTTGGCAGTCAAACTTTCTGCAATCCTCCTGCCACCTGCAAACTTTTCTGTGCCTTCCAAGGTCACCACCTGGCTGGAAGCATCTTCTGGCTTGAAGAAATCAACAGCTTGAAGCAGGTCTTTCCTGAACAGATCAAACTGCTTCCTGTCTGCAACTGTGATGCCTGACAGTTCTTCGCTAGAAGCCACCATCTTTGAACTCTCAGCTTTGGCCCAAAGTGGGACCTGGTCTGAAAAGCCAATGGTCAGCAATTCCCTAACTCCAGGCTTCAACACATCCTTGGGCTCTGCAAAGAGATCAGACTTCAAGAGGTCTGCCTCAGGGGATGCACCTGCAAGCCACACCATTCTGTCAATGGCTTGCCAAGACAACTGAACACGCGTTTTCTCTTCAAGTGCACTCAAAGGGCTTACCACAACTTCCTTTGCACCACAGTCTAAAAGCCTGCTGGAGAAAGACTGCCTGTACTTCTTGCTGGCTAGAAGCTTGTCCCTTCTGGCAAAGCAGGCCTTGGCTTCAAGGTTCCAAGACTTCTTCTGGCCCTCACTCTTTGAAAGCTCTGCTTGCTTCAAACATTCTTGGGCTGAAGAAATCAGTTGCGCTACAAACTGATCCAGAAGGTCACCCTTTGCAAGCACAACTCCATTGGACCTCTCCTTCGAAACCATTTCTTTGACCTTGTCAATCTCCTTCTGAAACTCCAACTTTCTGCCTGCGCCCTGTGCCCTGACAAACCTTGACCCTACAACTCTGCCTCTCTTCGTCGTCAACTTTGACCTTTGACCTTCAAAATCTTTCTTTTTGGACATGAGGTGCTTCAAGGTCCTGGTGTCTAGGCCATATCTGGACCTGCCTTTCTTGAAGAGCTCTCTGCTGTTGGAAGATTCCTTTTGCATATTCTCCAAGTCCTCTGCAATCTTGACTTTCTCTACAACTGAGAACTCCTTTCTCCTTGAAGGCATCCCAGCTCTTCTCCTGTTACTCTTCAATCCAGCAGCGCTGTACTCTTCAACCTGTGGTCTACCTCCAGGTTTTCCTGTCTCAACAGCCTTCTCTGCCTCTAAATCCTCCACTGCCTTCAATCTCTTGACATATTGCTGCTTCAACTCAGCAAGCTCAACCTCTCTAATGGATCTCTTTCTTTCTTTCCCTAAAATCTTTCTCTCCAAAACAGGTCTTGCTTCTGCCTGCTCTTTTGGACTGCCAAAAAACTTCTCCAAACCAAATTGTGACAAAGGGGATCTGCCACTGGAATTGGAACCCTGGCTCTCTTCAAGACTTTCTCTGCTGGAAGCTGGACTCTTGAAGTTTGATGTTGGTCTATCTGGTGTCTTGAACTGGTCTGAAAGCTTTCTTTGAACCACTGGAGCAGAAGCCTTCTCTGCAGCCTGCTTCAAAATCTGTTCTGCCTTCAACTGCGCTTCCCTCAAAATTTGATCTGCCTTTCTTTGTGCTTCTGCAATCAGGTCTGGTTCTTCAAAGCCCTCCATCTGCTAAGGAGGAGTGGTGGTAAAAAAGGAGATTACCTTTCATGAATGTATCTAACTATATAAATAAGATGTAAACTGATAGTTGCCTGACATTATTTAGGGGGGGGGCGAGAATAATGTCTAGAGATTTGAGTCTGCGTTTCCTTTTCTTTGCCTTTTAATTTGCATTCAAGCAAAGGGGGTAGTCCAGCAAGCAGCTTTCTGACATTATTTAGGGGTGGCCTAGAATAATGTCTAGAGATTTGAGGCTTTAAATCTGTGTTTCCTTTTCTTTGCCTTTTGATTTGCTTTACTCACCCTCTATTCCTTATTTACTTTTCCTAAGCTCTTTGGTTGTGAAGCTTTCCAAAAGTTTCCAAAAGTCAGTGCGCACTTTCTTTATAAAATCCCTTATTCAAAAGTATTGAAAAACCAAAAAATCAATCAAGCAAAGGGGGTAGTCCAGCAAGCAGCTTTCTGACATTATTTAGGGGGGGGCCCTCGAATAATGTCTAGAGATTTGAGGCTTTAAATCTGTGTTTCCTTTTCTTTGCCTTTTGATTTACATTCAAGCAAAGGGGGTAGTCCAGCAAGCAGCTTTCTGACATTATTTAGGGGAGGCCCCTAGAATAATGTCTAGAGATTTGAGGCTTCAACAATAATGTCAGGCTTTCTTCAAAAACCTTGCTTATGGTAGTGTTTGTTTCTTTGTATGTGTTTGCTTATACAATGAAAAGTATAGGTTGTGCTTGTGAGGTTTGTGTGCTTGTGTGTCTTTAACATAGAATCTACAATGCACACTGAAAGCATGAACAAGACTTGCTGACAGCTTCAAGCCTTTCACTGCAAAGGCTTCATGACTCCAACCCTTGTTTGCACTCAAACACAAACTTGGCTTCAACCCAGTCCTAAAAATCACAAAGCGCTTGCACTGCAAAGCTTGAACTGCAAAGCTTGAACTCTTGCATGACTGAAGCTTCAAGCCCCTCCTTTTGACAGCTGCAGCTGGAAGTCCAACTGCAAACTGCATGGCCCTGTCTTGAAGCCATTCTCAAAAAATCCACCCCTCTCAAAGCAGCTCTACAAGCAACGCGGTGTGCTCTACAAGCAGCTTCTTGAAGAGCCAAGTACTGTAAAAACAAATCTCAAAAAGTTCAACCACTCACAACAAACTGCAACAGCATTGAAAAACATTCTTTAGAAACATCTCCAATCCTGGCTCTTCAATTTGCAAAGGAAGCATCACCTGCAAGGAGCCAGC